GTCCTTAATTTCAAATTTAATCGGACCTATTATGACAAAAATAAATAATTAAGTTTTTCTTTGGATCGATGAAATTGGATGGAGTAGAGCGGTATGGAATAAAATGTTGTGATATGTTATTGTTTGGATCATTATAATCGAATGAAGTGGACCGGAATGAAATAGTATGAATTACATTTCATTCTGTCTTAAAATTTTTAAACAAAAGAATAAAAATTTTATTCCACTCTGTTCCATTATACTACATTTTACATTTTACTCTGTTGTACTTCATTTACCTTCGTTCATTTTGTGATATTCAATCATAACGTAAGATTCAAAAATACCTATTTCAATGACAAGGCCAGAAATAGAAGAACAACCAGGACCACCACTCAACCAAAGCATAAGAGGGTCTTTTTTAGGATTATTTTCAGATTTGATGAAATAATAGAACACTTGCATGTCATCATCATCATCTGTTTCTCCTAATCCCACATACCTATAAATTAGATAAATATGTTAATTATATTAATTAATTTAAAAAAATTAATTATTTTTTTTAATAGTAATAAGAAGATTGTTTACCCTGTTTCAAGTTCAAAGGGAAGTGGCCCTTGAAAGCCAGGAAGGTATTCAACCTTTGAGCTAGAAGAAGCTTCGATGTGAGTTAACATCTGCAAACTGAAAAACACAGTTAAAGTAAGTAGAATCTGAAAACCACCAGAAGGAGGAATCATCATCATGTTCTTCTTTGTAAGTTTCAGTTATTTTCTGTTTGAGATAAGAATGATGTGTGAATGAAGTTTATTGCGTGACGGAACAACATATTTAATGAGAAAGAATATATTGAATGCCTTTTATATTGACTAAAAGCTTTTGACTATAAAACAAAAATAATACTTATTCTGATTAATATTTTAGTTAAATATTTTAGATTTTTATTCATTTTTAATTGGTTCGGTAATGATTGAGGTTTGTAGCGAGGATTTTTATTCTGATCCTGGTAACTACGGACGAAAAGAATTAAAATCAATTGATATCAAAACTGATATTAGTGTAAGGTTTAGTATAATATACACATTTATTTTTATGAAACTTTATATATATATATATATATATATATATATATATATATATATATATATATATATATATATATATATATATATATATATATATATATATATATATATATATATATATATATATATTTTCTAGATTTTAGCCGGCCGAATACAAATCCAAACACAGCCGTATGCAAATATCCAAACATGTGATTGTTTTTGACTGAATACAGTCAATAATGTCACCTAACAATGATGTATTTTAAGAGTAAAACTTGTAGAAATTCATCTGACACTGCAAAATAAATAAAGTTTAATTATATTTGTCTTAAATATTTCAAAATCTAATTTTAGTACATCAGGTTGAAAAATCATACTGTGATTGTAGCAAAACTTTACCTAGTAATTAAAATATTTTTGTTACTGTAATTTTTACTTAATTTTGTTACAATTGTTTGTTCGTCTGTAGTTTAATTTAGTTTTGTATTCTGTATTATTAATATTATTTTACTTCTCAATAAAAAAACTAAAATTAGTTATAAAAATTTACAGAAACCATTATTTGGAAAAAATATTAAAATTAAATTTTAAAATATTTAAGAGAATCACAAATATATTTAACTCAAAAAATAAATGAATTAGATTTTATAAGGTACTATGAATAATGATTTCAATTAACATATATTTAATTAATTAATTAATTAATAATGATTATACTGTTTTAGCAGAAGGAGCTTGAACTAATTTTAGAATGGGTGAGTTTTTCAAGTTTTGTTTTTCATAAGAATTACATAAGAATTACACAATGATCAAATATTGACAATTTTTTCTTAGAAAATGAAAATCTTTGACAAATGAGTATCTCATATTTATACCATCTTAGCTGTTGGTTTACAAAGGTAAATAAGATATCCATCTCCTAAACATGACAAAGCATTGCTCGGGAGTGTACTCGGGAGCGGTATGACCTGAACCCTGTAATTAATTAAACCAAAATCGATATAACAAATATTCATATTACTCGAATAAAATACACTTAAAATTTCGCCAAATTAAGTGTTTCGAGCATTTTTTATTCATCGAGTAATTTTTTACCTTTACAGTTGCAAATGTCATTCGATTTGAGTAAGTTCTTGTGTATCTGCATGAAAGATAAATACATGTTAAGATCAAATGAACCGGTCATTATGATACAATTGGAACCAAGCCAACCAACAAACTCGTCGTTTTTCGTTCAACCAGTTGAATCGGCCGGTTTAATCTATCTTTTAAAACATTGATATGAAGTTTCATACTTACCCTCCGACTTGGTCATTTACTAACCATGACCTCCAATCATCTACAATGGAGTAGTTTAAATTCCTTATCCAATCTTGAGTAGATGTAAAAGGAACAACCATATCATGATCCCCACTATGAACAACACATCGATCGTCAAAATAAACAGTTGATGTTAACAACAAATTCATAATAAATCACGACTGCGTTGATAACTAACGAAAAGATCTTTACCTGTATATCAAAGAACGGTATCCTTTTTTGCTTAGATTTACATGAAACTCGAAGCTACTAGGGATATCGTGCTCAAAATCTTCAGTATAACAACGTTCCCATTTCCGTATGGTTCCCTGCAAACCTCAAAGCTATGTCAGATTATGATATTGATAACAACCATTAGTTTGATGAGACTTCGTCGACGCATTCAACTTAATGAGATTATAGAGATATCATATCAAACCTCTCGAATATGTAGTGCCTTGCGGACACTATCATCATTAGCCCATTTAGTTGCGAGGTAAAAACCATAAATCTACAAAAATGAAAACTGACATCGAACTTGAAACATTATGAACAAAATAGTGTGAATCTCTAGACAAGTTAAGAAAAGAATTACTTGGCAACTTAATTCGGGCACTTTGAGACGAGATCTAAGAGGTTTCTTCAACTCTTGAGTCAAAGATCTCCTCCATAGACGCGAATCATCTTTGCAATAGCGATCCAAAATGTTGAACGTATTAATTCCTGAAAGGCACTGAAGATAAGAAATAATAGTTTATAAATTCGGTAAAAAGTTGTAAAATAAAAAGTTTAAATAGAGGATAAATTACTCGCCTCGTCAAAGGATTGGAGATCTCTTAAACATAACTCATTTTTAGAATCTACGTCGATATATTCTCCTTTACAATTTCTCTGCAGCGACTGTTGTTAAAAGATAACGGTAGACAATTAAGTATTATATTGTTCTTTAAACTCATGTAAAATAGGGGTCAAAAGTACGTTTAAACCTAATAATATTACCGCATAGAGTTCATCGGAAATGAGTCCCATTCCATGAGCATATGGAATGTAATAATTGATTTCTTTTGCTGTTGTTAGAGGATTTCCTAGTAGATATCCCTGAAAAAATTTTAAATGGTTTAGGATTCATAGTGCATATAACAAAGGTATTTGGGATTTTAGAAATCGCTCTCTTGATTATATTTTCGTCGATAATAGAAGAGACAAACATAGATTATGGTTAGAAACCTGGAGATTTATCGACGGTTCAAGACCTTTTTCATTTCCTATTAATCAAAGAAATGGAAAAATATCAGTTTTTTTGGTCTTAATCCCGATTCTCAGAGGAAGCATCCCGGTTCATCATTAGTTTAATAACTAATCGTAATAAAAATTGAGGCAGTTAGAATTTCTAACCATTTGAAATTTCTTGAACAATGGCCGGGACAGGAAGGCCAGAGTATGAATCGGCTCCCATGTAGAATTCATTTGAAAGAAATTCAGAGTGATCGATCAGCCACTACAAATATAAATAATCATTGCAAGTTTAATTTTTGTCATGGTGGAAGCCGAATGTAGTCTTCATTCAAGAAAAAAGCAGACAAACAGACACACACAAATGTGCACGTCTGCACGCTAGTTAGCGTAATGAACATACCTTCCTAAGAAATTGATGAACATGATGGACTAGTTTCCAGTCGCTACGATGAGCGGTGACATTTTTAGCATACGAGAAACCAGTTCCAAAGGGCAAATCAACAAAAATAATGCTGCATAGCTGACCAAAAGAAACAAACAAAAAAACGAATATTTTTTCGATTTATCTCAACATTAGTAAATGAATTCAATATTGAATTATTGAGGTGATATTAACTAACACCTTAGTCCAAGATTGTGGCCTCGAAACCAAACTAGGCACGCTCCCGTCGTACTCCTTTTTTTCAAACGCAAACGGACCTATTAATATTGAATTGAATGTTGAAATAGGAAAAGTACAACACTGGTGTCTACTACATTTCAACTTAAAATGAATCTGCGCAATGTAAAATGCGATAATGACTTGTGGCATACAGTTATACATGAATAACAAATTGTCGAAACAAAACTCGGGAAAATAAAAGTAAATTTGTGTATTGAAAATTACCTATTTGATAGACAAGACCAGAAAAAGAAGAACAACCAGGGCCACCAGTTAACCAAAGCAGAAGAGGGTCTTTCTGAGGATTATTCTCTGACTTGATGAAATAGTAGAACACTTGCATGTCATCATCTGTTTCCCCTAACCCCACATACCTATCAAATTTAACACAACAACATTACTTGCCACACAATACACCTCTATATCAGTTTTGATTATGTTCAATTTATTTATTTTTTCAAATTATTACTGGTCTCAGACATGTCACTGTTGGTATTGTGTCTGGTGTCGGTGTCCGTGCTTCATAGCAAGACACTGCAATTTCATGTGTCTTTGCATAGTTCTACCTAACTCTTTTTCAAAATTATTGTGATTAACCTATCGATAATTTTCCAAAATAATCTAAAATTAAACTAGAAAATGGAATGGTTAAGATTGATTACCCGGTTTCAAGTTGAAAAGGAAGTGGTCCTTGAAAACCAGGAAGATGTTCAACCTTTGAACTAGAGGAAGCTTCAATGTGAATTAAGATCTGCAAACTAAAAAGCAAACCGAGAGTAAGTAGAATCTGAAAACTATGAGAAGGAGGAATCACCATCATCATCATCATGTTTGCAAACGTTGTTTCTAATCAATATTTTATGTTCTTGTCAACGATGAGTTGTTGAGAAGGAGAATGGCTTAGTTGTCTTTTCTTTTGCTATCTTTCATAACTTTATCCTATTTAATACTTATTAAGAGAGAATAAATAATTTAGAGAGATTGATAGAGACAAATATAGAGCATTGTTTTGTTTCTATCAAAAAGAAAGTCTAATGAATATGCATTGAGTAAAATAGTCTTACACTATTATTTATCGAGAAACAAATAAATTTGTTAAATTAATAAAATATTTTTAAAATTGAAATCTTATTAATGGAATATATAAAAAAAAAATGATATTAACGGGTATATCTTTTTTTCTTAAAATAATAAAAAGAGTTGAATGATTGAGTTGATCGTGTCAGTTTTATTTATTTAGAAATTTTAACGTGGCGTTGTTGAATGGTGTAGCAGTAGAACATAAAATATTAGGAGAAGGATAAACACCTTTTAATTGAAATATTAATTAATAAAATATAGACGTGTGATCCACGGGATATATATATATATATATATATATATATATATATATATATATATATATATATATATATATATATATAGTTACGCTAAATATTTTATGTGGTGTTCCGAGTTGGAACTCAGCATCTTCTACTTTGTGTTTGACTTTATGACAGTGTCTGTCATGTCATCTTTGGGTCCAAAAAAAATAATGCAAGCTCTTGTGATTATGAAAAAAGACAAATATTATCAACATCATCATAATTATTATTTAATGTATAATTCAGCATATGAAAATTCTTTTGTTCAAGGAGGATTCACAATGGAGACACTTCCCATTACTATTACATTATATGGACATTATTTTTTTGTTTCACATTTGGAGAAAGAGTTTCCTCCCAAATCTGTGCAGTTTGCATCACTATCTGCACATTAGTAGTTGACAGTCGATTTAATTGCATCCAATATCTGCATGATCAAAACAGTGAATCTTGCATCAGTCAAAGTCATCTTCACCGTGCGAGCAACATATAGATACTACCTAAGTTCCTTAATATAAAGAATTTGGAATGGTGCAGGTGCAGTCATCGATCCCTAATTTACGAGTTGGTATAACAATGGCAGTTGAAAAGATCGAAAGGTCCAGATTTTGAGCTTGGTATTTTAGTTTTAAAAAAACTAAAATCCGCATTAAAATCTAGGTCATCTGATCTCAACTCAATGACCACCGATGTGCCAGGGCGGGAGATAATCAACAAAAGGCATGCCAAATTCTATCATCAGTCCTTTGTCATATATTAAGAAAAATATGCAGCATATTGAATATGTTTGATTAGTGTATACTTTTCATCTCTCAAGAAAAACTAGTAATATTAATTAATAAGAGATATATTTTCAGAATAAAATTAATAATAATAAATGTAACTTGTAATTTGAAATGAGTCTTATAAGAAAAAAAATGAAGATAAAGAATTTACCTTATTCTTGGTTGGCATGTAGAAGGGTTCAAAAACCAGAGGAAAAGGAGTGTCTAGGCCACAAACTCTTGCTACAGGAGCCTCTAACTGCACCGCATATGAGGAAGAAAAGCTTCAGACGGGTCTCAGTTTTATTGAAGTATGCGTTTTGAGATATTTTCATAGCATGTGATTCAAAAGAAAATCATTTCATTTAATTACACGCGTTCCAAAGGTAATTACAACATCTCAAATGAATCAATCATGTACATGAATGAATGAATGAGAAACAATTAGAATGATTCTCAGTAAACATAATGCAGTTTTGAACATTTGAAAACTCCTAAAACCATTTGCAAAAACTATAATCTATCATTTTGCAAACATGATTTGTCTTGGCATGAGTTTTGGAAATGTAAACCATACTCATAGGCGGACACTGAACACGACTTCGGCACACATACACTGGTAATAATTTAAGAAAATATGAGTGGTTGTATATCCTTTAAATCCACATGAGTCAGTGTCAAACTGGTTTACACTGATGATTCACATCCTTTAAATCCGTACATATAGAAACATGGTTCTAAATAATTCAATCAGTGATCCCAACTTCCAAAACCCAACTCCGTTCGTTTCGCAAAAGCCTTTTATTATTTCCATTTTCTCAGATGTGATGCTATATTAAAATGTTTGGATGATACATATCAACCATATATTTTGCTATTCAAGCATAGTGTGATGGAAATAGCAATAGTAATTTCTCTCCAATCCTGTTGGGAGTAATACCCTGTTGGCCTAATGATTTTCACTTGGTTATGAACTAAAGATTGAATACATACCCTTGAGAAGCAGCGTTCAAGAATTGAAGCCGAGATTTCAGCGCCAAAACCACCAGTCACAGGAGCTTCATGACTAACCTACACAGTAAATTCAATGCATTGTCATGTAGGGTAATACGAATGCGGGTTTCATTTATTATTCAATAAATTATTTTACTCACAAGAAGTCTTCCTGTCTTCTTTACTGATGCCTCCACTGTTTCTTTATCCCACGGAATTAGTGTCTTCAGGTCTATCAATTCACAGGAAATTCCCTCCTGCATAATTTCGTAGTAAAATTACAATTTCATTAAAGATGAAAAATCTAGATTTCTAAACATGGCTCGTTCCTCCAATAATGTAATATATTCTTATGGAAATGGAAAACTGTAAAACCAAACTGTCATTACAAATTATGATTAAAAGATATCATATATATTTGAACATCTGAAAATCATGGTTCATGGCATTAAAAACCGTGGTTAATTACGTTCAATGGATGGTTAATGAGTTGCAGCCACCTTGTCATATTTATTAACCATTCGCTGAATGTAACTAACTACACATACATGAACTGCATTAACCATTCAAATTGTTGTTCAACTTTGCCTAAAATTTGTGTCAAAAAATCGCTTTTGATACACAAATATGTTGCAATGCAGATTACATGTCCTAACACTTTCTCTTTCAAAGCAGCAGTACTTACCTTTTCTGCATCAATACAAGCTTGTTCCATTATAGATAATTGAGCTCCCCATCCAACAAGTGTAATATCGCTTCCTTGCCGAATCACCTAGAGTAAAAATTTGTCACAATAATGAATCAATAATGTTATACAGAACTTCTTTATCTTCTTTATTGGGACTTTTTGTGTACCTCAGCTTCAGACAATGGCAACATATAATCATCTTCCGGTACTTCTTCAACAGCCAAACGATAAAGCCACTGAAACAACAAATAGCTTAATTGAAACTGCAAATGTCACATACTCTAGTTCTGTGCATACAATTCATTAAGGTTGTTCTAGTAGAATAAGGATATATAACCTTTGGTTCAAAAAATACAACAGGATTCGGATCACGTATGCAAGATAACAATAACCCTTTCGCTTCCTTTGGACTACGAGGGATAACCACCTATACAAAAAACACCCTTGAGGTATTTGTGAAAAAATGAATCAATTACAAAGATAAGAAAAATCAACATGATATACAAGGCAAATTTCTAAATGTAGTTTCTCTCTTCCCTGTTCTCTACAGATCCTAATTCTTCATTGATCACTATCTCTTGATTCTCATCGATCCTAAAGGTACATATTCTTGATCTACTGTCTATATTGATTCTATTGTCTATATTATATAATGTTAAAATATGTTATGATTTGAATCTATGATTATTAAAATATCACGTCAAATCCTTCAAACTCTAGCAACTTCCTATTCACAAGCCTCTTATATACTCTTGAGCCTTGTCTGGACTGACTTATCTTAGTTTATATACTAGCATAAGCGCTTGCGGAACTGTTTGAGAGAGGTTATGGAAACAGACTATGAGATACCCATAAATTGTTTTCAACTTATTTTCATAAGCTATGTTGTACATAAATGCTTAATTAAGATATTTATTCAATCAGGACCATGATCTTCATAATTTGATGATTGAGCTATTATGCACATGCATTCAACTCTTGAGCCACTACCTTAGAAATTTAAACTTTTCTATAGTCTATAGAGGTTTCAAACACGACACTGTAAGTGGCTTAATCATTCGAAAAAGAGAAACAGCAGACAAAAGTACTAAAATATTTATCAGGTTCTAAATAATAGATTGAAATCCATATTGGAAGCACCATACTTTGATACCAGGCACGTGACAGAAGAAAGCCTCTGGAGATTGAGAGTGGTAATGTCCACCATGGCCAACAGCTCCATAAGGTGTTCTAATTGTTAAACCTATAAGAATGTGAAAAAGTTGCTGACACAACAACTAAAAAAATCGAAAACTTCAAAGCTATAGTTACGAAATAATTTTACCGCCACAATTAAATTGGTTTCCACTCCGATATCTGAATTTAGCAGCTTCATTGACAATCTAGAAACGAAAAATTAGTCAATTACTGATCAAAAGGCGCATCAACTAACACTAACCAAAGCCTTACAAAACAAGAGAGCATGCCTGATCAAAAGCAGGAAATATATAATCTGCAAACTGGATTTCTGCTATGGCTCGATTTCCCTGATACGTAAAAACATATAAGAAGTTTAAATGCAGATATATAAAAGAAAATTTGATTATATATGATTGTAGTAAGGTTTGATGTTAGAACAAGAAGTAAATTGTTTTAACATGTTAGACTCACCATAGCTGCTAGACCAATGCCAAAGCCAACAATGCCCTGTGGAAAGCATTTCAAAATATTAAACAGTGTTCTAGAAAATATTCTTGACATTTATTTTTCTTTTGACAAAGGAAACATGAAATGCTTAATCAAATACCTGCTCACATAGAGGAGTATTGAAAACCCTATTTTTACCGAATTGATCTGCTAATCCAGTGGTGCAACGAAACACCCCGCCAAAGCCTACATCTTCCCCGAAAACATAAGCACTGCGACGAAATGCAGGAGTAGAATTATTGGCAAACATGAAATAATCCACATATAAATTTACTGTTTCACTTAGCAAAATTTGAAGATAATGGAAACAACTTATAATGCAACCGAAAGAACTATGTAACATACAAAGAAAAAGAATGAATGAATGAGACTCACCGTGGATCAGTATCCAGTGCAATATGAAGAGCTTGATTAATGGCAGTATAAAGGTTCAATGATTTGCCACCATTCTCAACAGCATCTTTCTGAATGCTTGATGTAGTAGAAAAACCCCTTTTTGAAACCAGAGAAACACATTTTCCCAATCTCTTCACACATCTTGACATATTTAACCTGTTGAAGATATGAGAAAATTGCTTAAACACAAACTAGTTAACCTAAAATTGAATTGAATTTAAAATTCAATTTATGAATCTTGAGTTTTTCCCCCAAATTGGGAGAATTGGGTATACCTAGAAGATGATGTGTAAGGTTAAAATTAAAATTTCAACTTTATAATAATTTGGTGTTATTATGTTGCAAATTCCTATATTATATACATGTAGATGAATATTGAATGAGAATGGATTCTTTAAGGTTAAAATTAAAATTTCAACTTTATCGTTTTCCCAAGAGGAAGAAGATAAGAATAAGGTTTGGTGTGTGTTTTAATTGAATCATAATTCTTATCCAGCTTTATCCATCATTGTTTTTAATTGGTATTCTTCCCTTTTTAGTATGAATTGTTCTTTTCTTAATTTACCTAGTTATTTAATAAAAAAATTAAATGAGTTAATAAGTAATAAATTATTGTTTGAAATATAATTTTAAAAAATGATGTTTTTAATATGGATAAAAAGTCAAAAAAATAATAATATTTGTGACACTTTTAGGAGATTTGAATTTAGTTGGATATTGATATTTTCGTCTATGTTTTAAAAATCAAACATGTAACATCTCGAATAATATTTGTTTAAAATAATATTATTCAAGTGTTATATTTGGTATTGAATCTATACACAAGTGTTCAGGTGACATCACATACATATAATCAACAAAATAATACAATATGGTACATATGTAAAATGTGAATGTCGATACAAATATAACACAAAAGCATAAGGGAAAATACAAAACATGAGACATTCTAAGTCTTCGTGGACATCTTGCTTTTATCTTTATTCTTTCCCGAGTTACTTGAAATAATTAACATACATGGAATGTGATGCTACATTTTAGTTGAGCTGTCAACTACACCATAAGGTCCGCTCGACTCTAAGGGTCCTCGGACCCTATTTTATTCATGGAATTACTTTCTCTACTTCGTATATCATACGATTATGCAAGTTTTGAGAATTCGAGATCTAATCGATTGCATACTATGTGTGAATATCATAAGTCGGGTTCACATAACCCATTGTCTACCTCGGGACTTCGTAAATATATGGGACATCTTTCCCCCGCCCATAACTTATCACTCAAGTTTGGACACGGGTCGCTGTAAACAAGAGTTCTTCTTGTCCTTAGTTAAAGTTTTGATGAAGACAAACACGTCAACAAAAAGAAAAGCCAAAGCTTGAAGACTAGAGCAATCAAATTCAAATGATCATAAGTTTTGGAAAGTCAATGAGAGAATCAAGATGGTTTAGTATATTTTACAATTCAAGTATATATATATATATATATATATATATATATATATATATATATATATATATATATATATATATATATATATATATATATATATATATATATATATATATATATATATATATATATATATATATATATATATATATATATATATATATATATATATATATCTTAATTGCTTAGAATTATCATAATAATTTCATTTTGTGCATGCATTCATTTTAACATCATGTGAAACTTGATTTTTAAGTATTTTTCCCTTTCATAGCAAGTGTAACCAGTTACATAAACGTAAAAATAGGTTTTCAAAAGGTTACTTCAAACATTCTGTTTTTGGTAAATTGTGGCATTTGAAACCGTCGTAACATTTAAAACCGCCATAAATCACACTGTTAAAAATACCTTAGTTTTTGAAAAAGTATCAGATATAATTGGTTACAACTTTTATGGTAATTGGTTACACACTCGAAAATTTCAAATTTTCATGAAAAATCTGATTCCAACGTTTAACAACTTTCATACACCAGACATGACAATGTTTCATGAATATACATTCTTTCAGAATGATATATTGCATGTATATATACCTATGGTTTCAGTTTTCAAAAAATAAACTCTTAGACACAAAACTTTCATATTTCAAAAGAGTTTCTTTGATTACAACTTTCACTTCTCATAATCCAAATAAGTTTCTAAACTTTCAAATATGAAACTTTGTGCATGAACTTTCATACATATTCATTAAAGTTTCATTCATATTATTTTGAGCACTTAGGTGTATATGTTTGGATTGTGATAAATATAAAGAGGAAATCAAGTAACACATAATTGATTCAAGAGCTATAACTTCTGTCACAAATTCAGATTATTGTGGTATACCTTGTTGTTCAGGATTGTTGGAAGCAAGAGAGTGAATAAGGGAGTATTGTTCTCTTGTTGCACTTTGTAAAGATCATAAGGAGATTGTTCTTATTGATTGTGTTGCTTATGTTAGAAGATTATAGGACATGTATTGATGTAAGACTTGTACAAAGATCTAACATAGTGGAAAATCTCTCATGGGGAGTGAGGGGACTGGAGTACTCTCGAATTGTGAGGGGAACCAGGATATATCTTTGTGTCCTTTACTTTGTGCATTTATTTTTTAGCATATTTACTTTTGTTCTGGACTGGGTCAGTACTTGGTTCTTATTCTAGGGACAATCTATTTTGAAATATGGTTTATCCCTTGATATTGGTAACATCTCGGTCCTCCACTTCCTCCATTGGCACACCTCCCAAAATTATTCTTACCATAAAATCGGCATGAGGGATGAGTGTTAGGTCTAGCACCCCGCACCTGCTTCCCCTTGAAGGGTTGTTGTCTAGGCCTAAATGGTTGACTTGGTCTTCCTTGATTTCTCTGTCCAACTCTAGTCACATCTCTCTCTTATTGGACTCTCTTCAGGCTATGCTCAGCTATATAGTATTGCCTTAATAACTCAGCATAAGTAGTGAAATTTCTTTGAGATATACTATGAGAGGTTTTCGCCCTTAGACCAAACAAAAACTGATTGATCTTCCATTTTTCGTCTAGAGCGTATGCGACCCGCCTAGAGTAAGCAGTCATATCCTCAAATTTCTTGGCATAAGAAGCTACGGTCATATTGCCTTGTCTCAACTGTTAGAATTCAAACACCTTATGAGTCCTCAAGGAGCTAGGGAAGTACTTATCCATAAAGGTAGTCTTGAACTTTTCCCACACCTTAGGAACACCTTGGATAGTCATAAGGGCCGAAGCACTTTCCCACCACCTCATAGCAGGACCCTTCAATGTGTGAGAAAAAATACCACTTTGTTCTCTTCGCTACATGGTACAATAAAAAAGATCCTCTCCACACCCGACACCCATTCGTGAGCTTTTATCGGGTCCAGTCCGCCATGAAATTCCGGAGGGTTCATGCGGAAAAATTCCCAAAAGCTCCCACTTGTAGCTTCTGGTGGAACCACTGCAGAATGAGGACCTTCATTAAGCTGTTGTAACATCTATTGCATGAACTGATTATGTTGTTGTTGCATATGTTGTACAAACTCGGGACATTGGAAATTCTCGCTACTACTCGGAGGATTCGAGTCGGATGTTGGAGTTGCGAGCCTACCACATCTTCTACGTCCGTCAACCATGCCCCTAAATGTTATACAAACAGAATCAAGTTGATCATACTCAATACTATATATATAACGTCCAGAACAATGATGTTCGCACACATATGAAGCAGAAAGAAACACTTATAATATTTCATGGCTAGGTCGAGGATGCAACCTACTCTGATACCAACTATAACGCCTACATATAATATAAGTCTAGAATAATTAATATTATACATGATTGTAAATTTGGTACTGAAATAAACATAAGTTCTTAGTCACACATTATACATATTACATGTTCAGCACACCAAAGTACTAAAAGTGGAATAAATATATACAAGATGCCCAAAACAACTAAGAACTAGATCATAAAAATGATCTCAAAACAGAGTCTTCTCAACAAAAACAACGTCATCAAAATCCAAAACAAGTAAGGATATCAAACTGCCTTATCCTTACCCTTCACGGAACTTGAAGCACCTAAAATATAATCAACAACATGGGGTGAGATATTAATCCCAGTGGGTTCCCTATCTTGTGGATTCTCTCGGCTTTATAATGTTCTAATCAATCCTAAATTAAGCCCAAAGGGGAAGGGATAGGGCTTTGAGCTTGCAAACACACTATATAGAAACATGTTGCTTGAGTCCAATAACTCAAACTATCACTAGTCGGAAACTATACCAAGGTATCCCCTTTTCCCGTCCTCTCATATGTCTAGGACTTTTAGTCGGGTCATGGATCCTTGTAATATACTTTGACATACGAAATGGATTTGGATTCAAGGTGATTTACACATGAATCGTCGCTTCTCATGGGTCCACCCTATCATAAGCCTTTACTTGTAGGTTTCATTAGTACTACACGCGGGAATCAAACCTATTAAAGTAATAGTGCGTACATTCAAAAGGAGCTCTCTATGTAAGCCTTAACTCTAGTAACGATACGTCACAATGGATTATTTCTGATTACATGATCACAACACAACATGATTGTATTAGACAATCGCAAGACGACACATTCACCTTATTCTCAAAGTAACACAAAACCAACACATGTTCCATATAATGTTTCACCTCTCCACTAGACAACCAATTGTCAAGGATGAGCACATAGGCATCAAATGCACAAGCATTGACATCTAAATCATTTATAAACTCCTAGTTACATCATTAGGTCATTCCATTGAATTGTGACAAGGTTTTCTTCACTATTTCTTAATTCTTTTTAATCACATAACATCATTTTAATCAATTCACGAATCCACAATTACACATGCATATCATTCATAATAATCAAGATAAACAAGGTAAAGTAACAATAATCATGTATGGAAGACAACCAAGAAGCAAGAAAACAAAAGGGGAAAACACTGCTACATTCATAATGCGAAGCCCAAGCGATCTTCTTCACTTTGAGTTCGCAGTGCAAACTCTGGGCGAATCAGAAAATAAAAATGGCAGTAGCGAAAGGTCCCCTTGATCGCAGTGCGAACGCTGGGCGAACCTTCGCCTTCAGCTTCACTTACACTCACAATGCGAGCATGACAGAACTGCCATGTTCGCTGGCCATTCGCAGTGCGGACCCTACGTTCCAGAACTTCATACTAACATGAAACATTCGTTTCAAAGGGGTTTCAACCCTCATTCTTACCCAACCTCAATCCATCATCAAAGTTGACATATTCACTCATGAAATAACATTTTGAATCATAAACACACAGCAATAGCATGAATATAACATGAAATATGTATTTCTCATGGAAAGGAAACAAAAACACCCTAACCTAATTTTTCTCATTCTATCAAAATACTTTAACCTTAAGTTTCTACCTAGAACCCACCTCTAAAAGATGATGAAGAAGTTGTTGATGATAAAGATGAGATGATTTGATGATGAGTGGTAATGATTCCTCTTTTACTAGATTTTCTTCTTCTTTTTTTCTACTTTCTCTTCTTCCCTCACTTCTTCTCTTTCTTTTCCTCTCTTATTTCCTTTACTTCCTTCTGTCTACTACTTATTCCACAAAGTTGGAAATAGACAATGGAAAATAAAGAAAAAATAATATGTAGAAATATCTCTTTAGAACTTAGTAAGACTAACTTGGTTAAAAGTCCAAATAAATGAGTATCCAAAAAGTCTTTAACGCACCAATTAATAAAACTTCAGAGTCGGATAATATTAATTAAGTCAACTCTAAGTTCATCAGTTACTCCAATTATCCTAACAGATAACTCTCATAGCACATTGGAATCCAGTTGATCTCAACTAATATTATTTAGAGCATTTTATTAAATACGGTGTATTACACCTTATCTTCCCGAGCGAGTGATGCGGCATTTTGACTATTTGAAAATTACTCTAAGACCCTCATATGAGCTTGCTCCTCCCACCGTCCTCTGTAGAGATCTCGATGATATACTTGAAAATGTTAAGAGTCATTTGGTACTAGAAGAGTATCACATGGTACTAACTCCTATACATTGTGCATATGCAGACAACTAAATGACATGGTTCTATAGGGTGTCACACAATATCATAACAATATACGTTCTTAGAAGACTACATATGTCAACTTATTAGGAGGTGCTTGAGGCTAGGGATGACCACACCGGTGACATATCAGTTGTTTGTCGGCGTGTTGTGGAGATGGATAAAGCATGCATATAGGCAAGACTCTTTGAAAATGACAGTTCACAATTGATCCTCGTGGAGAGCATGACTGTCGAGTTACGAAATGTCGTGCAATACAAGCAGAGGAGAATGCAGAGTGTTAGACATACCCAGTAGTTTATGTTTGGATTTTTTTTTTGTATTTTCAAAAAAATGTTATTAATAGTCTTGACATTTTGGATTTACTTTAATTAATATATGACTTTTTACTTTTATTTCACTTTAATATAACTTGAGCTTACTTTAATATAACTTGACCTAAAAAATTACAATGTTGGGACAATAATGCTGCCCTGAAATGATTCAAGGGATTTTTTGAAGATGCAACATTTTTCATTCAATTGGCATGTTTCCAATACCATTTAAAGGACTTCAGAGAATATTATAGAGATGCATCTTCGAGCACATCTAAATAATACGAAGATGTATCTTCAAATTATATTTTGTTCAAAATAAAATGTAACTCAAAAATACAAAGTCTAATGTGAATTGGAGTGCTTTTAAAGATTATTTTTAAGTTTTCAAAAGTGTAAGACACACTCCTAAAAATATAATAAACATTTCCATATGCTTATTGGAACATAGATTCACCAAGTTATCTACAAGAGTCTAACAATTTTTTTTTAATATTTTGATCTTTTAACGGTTAAATACTTTAGTCCCTCAAAATAATTCATTCCATTTTAGCTCGTTTAACTTACAATCTCCAAATTACAAATTTTAAACACTTTAATCATATATATCAAATTCTATTTTGTAATTTAAGATAGCAAAGTAGCTTAAGAGACTAAAGTGTCTAACACTTATAATTTAATAGACCAAAATGACCAGAAAAAAATATAAATGACTAAAGTGTTTAACTTGTTAATTAAAAATAAAATAAAATAAAATAAAATAAAAAACTTAAAAAAACAATGTAAAATTTAAAAATAAGTAAAAATAAATAAATAAAAAAAATAGTTTAATCATATAATCTACAACATATATAATTAACAATATTCTGCAACTTTTGGCCACAGCATGGGCACACGCATCCAATGTTGAAAGAGAAATATAATTGACAATAAATAGAGCTTTCTCCATCATTTTCTTATCTTTTGGAAAGGGATTGGCTACCTTTGAAAATTTTATCTTTGTACCTTTTTCTCTATCCTAACATATTTTATTGTCAACCTCATATTTTATTTTTAAATTTTGATATAATTTTTTAACTACCCTAACATTTATCTTTATAATAATTTTCTATAAATTTATATATTCGATAATCTTTTTAAATTATATATTATTATAATTACATTTTCATAAAATATTTTCTAATTAAATATTTATATTTCGATAATAAATTTGTGATTGAATTATAAATGGTAAATGAGTTTTATGATCAAATTACAAGAATAAAAAAATAAATTAATTTTAAAATACACATCCTCCCCTTATAAATCAAATATATTTATAATTAAAATTTCTCTCCTCTTCCCCTTTCATATTTTAAACTAAACATATATGTAATTAAAATTTCTCTCCTTTCTTCTTTTTGATAAAAATTTTCCTCTCTCGTCCCTTTGATCGAACCAAACAAATCTTAAAATTCATTTTGTCAATTTAACTTTGATGCGACAGTTGAATATTCGATTAATATAGTCCAAATTAGTGTTTGGATATGATAATAGAATATTCAATCATAATATCAAAGTTGATTTAGTCAAATGAGTTGCAAGAAACATTCATCAAGGAGCAAATAATATTATCAAAGTTAGTTTAAATTAGTGTTAGGAAATGATTATCTTTCTGCGTTTGCCCTTACAAGTGTTTATTGCCAATGAATAAATTCATATAAATTACTTCCAACAATCTAAAATTCCAAATCTCTTACTAAATTGACCAAATTCTCAATAAATAACCTCATGTGAATTATTACAATGATCACACAAAGTAAGCTTATTCAAAAGTGAAAATGCAGTAGCACATATGGAACTTTCTCTTACTCACCATCCCAAAGTTCTTCAATTGTTTTGTACCCAGAAGATGCCTGGCTAACAAATCCTTCTCCAGGAACTACTCTTTCCTGCATCGATTTGTAAAAGAAAAAGTTGAAACGAAAGTATCGGAATTTTTTTTAAAACTTTTCAGAATCCAACAATATAAAAGTGATCATAAGATTGTATGACTTGCCTGCTCAAATTCGTTGAAGTTGACTAGCAAATCTTCTGGTATAGACCAGTCAAACAGGTCAATGTTTTCTTTGATTCGTGCAGTATTTGTGCTCTTAGGAAGTACACTGTGACCCGTCTGTAGTCCCCATCTAAGGGCTATTTGGGCCGGAGTCTTCCCTAACTTCTCGGCCGTCGTGTGCAGAACTGGATTTTTAAGAATTTTACTCTCGACTCCTTTACCTAGTGGAGAATAACCCTGAATAAGAACATTGATTGGGATAAGTAGTCAGTTATAAAATCAACATTTCGTATCGTGAATTAGAAGAACTATTTTCTGAACTGGATTTGCATACTCACAGATAAATGCACTCCCTTGGATTTACAGAAAGCATGTAAATTTGGCTGCTGCAACGAAGGATGCAATTCCACTTGATTAACAGCTGGAGGAACACGCGCAACATCCAAAAGATCCTGAAGCTTTTTCACAGAGAAATTGCTGACTCCTATAGCTCGAGCCTTTCCAGAATCGTAGAGCACTTCCATTGCTTTCCATGTGCTTGGTATGTCAGGTTTGGTAAAGCGTCCGTTTTTCATGCTGACTGGCCAGTGAATCTACAAGAATATATAGACATATTACAAACATAAACATATCAGGATTTGATGTAAGATAAAATTAGTTTCATTTTCGTTTACACACAAGGTAGAGATCAAGATAGTCCAACTGCAAATCGCGTAAGGTTCTATCAAATGCTTTAGGGACGTCTTCTGGCAAGTGATCGGTACACCTAAAATATGTAATCATGTTTTAAGAACCTATAAAGCAAGAAATAACAATCTGAAAATAGTAATTGTTCAAGAATTTAGACAATAATATATTTAGTAGAGATACAAAGATAATGAAGACTCTCTAGGAATCAATCATTGCGAACCATAGCTTGGAAGTGATCCACATCTCTTCACGCTTAACTAGTCCATTGTCAAACAATTTCTTCAAGGCATCACCAATCTACACATAAAAGTTTACAAAAAAGTTAATAGCTAGAAAAATTGCAACAATTGAGTGTCAGTTCCTACTTTATTCCACAGAAATGTTAGCTCAAAAGGAAAAAGACGGAAAAATATACAAATTCCATTTGACGGAAAAAGATGATTTCCCTCCTAAAAAACCCTAACCTCTTTTTCATTGCCATAAATTTGAGCACAATCTATATGCCGATATCCAACCTGCATTAACAACATAGTTGTTAAGTTAATCCAAAACTAACTTTGATGGAAGAAAACGAAAAATTGGAAAGAAAAGTGAGTTCGGGTAAGAAAGAAAGAAAGAAACATTGATAGCGGTGGAAATAGCATCGTAAACAACGCCGGGAGCAGCAAGCCAAGTGCCTAAACCAACAGAAGGAATCTTAGCGCCTGTGTTCAACTCGAAGCATCTCAGATCCTCGATTGCCATTTTCTAATGTGATGATAGAATCAAACTCAAACTCAGAATCAAAATCAAACTCAAACTCAGAATCAAACCAGAGAGAGATATACTTTGATGAATATAGAATATACTTCATTTTTTATTATTGGTTTTTGTGAATTTTTTTAAGATAATGTTTTTTTAAATAAAATATAAAAAAAAAAATAATTAAAATTGTCATGTTTTGAAGAGGAATCGGCATATGAAATGACTCATCAAAGTCTTACAGACCTGATTCGCCAGTTCATATCGTGCATGAGTTAAAGTTATAATGTTTTATCCTACACTGAGCCGTCATACCATATGGCGCCTCAGTTGTAGGATTTTTTTTTAATATTTAATTTTTGTTTATATTTTATCACATATAATTAATATTTAATATTTAGTTTTTATCATATATAATTAAAAAAATAATAAAATTTGTTATTTTTAATATTTTATAACAAAAATATAAATAAAAGAAATAATAAATTATAATATTTATAATATAAAAAAACTTCAATATTGTACAACAGATGAAAAAAAAATCAATGGTCGATTCTATCAAAACGACCACCGGTACCACATTGGGGAGGATTCGCGCAGCGTCGAGGTTTACTACGAGGTTGTTGAGGTGTATTTGGTCTTTGCGCGTTTACCTGTAAAAGAGGTATTTGTTCAAATGGCCCCGACGTATCAGATAAATTTTGAACCATTTGACCCCAATAGCCAGGCTGGCCGCTGCCAACGGCGCTTCCGTATTTAAGTTCAATGCCCATGTTTTCGTAGTTTTGTCCGGGAGGTTGGGTGAGGTGTGGATGGTATGGTTGTCCGAATTGGTACATCGAATCGGTTTGGAAACAATGTAATGGTTGTTGTGGGGTTTGGTAGTCAAAAAGTGAATATGTATTTTGTTGATAGGAAGATTGATTGGCTGATGTGGGGTCAAAAGAGTTATTTGGGCTATAGGTGGTGGGGTAGGGCCAAAAGATGAATCAGAGCTATATGCAAAAGTGGTGTCGGTTTCAGAAGGCTGACGGTAGGGGTAAGACTCTTGTTGTTGTGATTGGGTTGGTGGCATGTATGAGTTGCGGTTTTGGAAGATTGATTAGGTGGGCATAGTTGGATGTTGGGTATAACATGATGTTTGATGTTGGGCATTGGGTTGGTGTTGTGGGTTCGAGAAAGACGCATGTTGCCTTGGGTCAATCAAATATGTCGGCTCAGACACAAATTGTTGTGAGGTTGTAACTGACATAAACCAAATCATATATTGATAATTTGGTCTAGCCCCTTCCACAATAGGGTCAGTTAAGATGTGTTGATGTTGATTCTTCCAATGCAAACACATCTCTTTCACAACATCCTTCCAATGATTTACACTCCATTGTGTATCCATCCTTAGCTGATGCCAGTGTCCCATTGACGTTAGAGGATCTGGAATATCCTGATGCATCCCGAACTGCAGTTTCACCCAGTCACTTTGATGCATCTCCACTGTAGTGAATCGAATAATAGGTGTTTTAGATGTCCACACGACAACATCATTGACATTGGGCTGGTGGTCGAGACCCTCGTACGACATCCAGACAAACTACATTAACAATATATGTAATGAGAAATACAAGTATGCGTTTATCAATTAGAAAAATAATGATAGATAAATTACATCATCTGACCCAATGTGTTCTATAAGGTTGCGGTACACGATTATGGAGTTCCTGAGACATCTTTGATAATTCATTCCCGGAACATACCACCTAAAAAAAGAAACACAAATAAATTAGTCACTAAGAAACATTGCACAAATAATTAAGTTACAAAGAAACATCGTTTGTATACTCGTATTGAAAATAAACTTACTTGTTAGCGTATGGGAATGTGAACTGATTGCGGTTGATTGGAGCAAGTGTTGGCATTCTAGACCAACCTCATGCATGGGACACTGACATCAGCTAAGGATGGATACACGATGGAGTGTAAATCATTGAAAATAAACTTACTTATTAGGGTATGGGAATGAAAATGCATGCTGAAGTGTGCAAGTTTCTAAGTGTAGGAGTCGCATGAAAATGCATGTCGTAGCGTGCAAGTTTCTAAGTACAGGAGTCACATGAAAATGCATGTTGTAGTGTTGTCATTCATGCAGAGTGTTGTGTAGCAAGTGTAGGCCTGCTACAGTAATAGTGTAGGCATGTGAATACTACCACTATTAATGCATGCTGAAACATGATGACAATGGTGTAGGAAAGCGTGCAAGTGTGGTCTTGTCATGCATGTGAAGGCATCGCATGAGTGTAGTGTTGTCATGCATGCAAAGTATTGTGAAAATATATGTTTTGCTAGAGTGTAGTGTTGTCAAGTATGCATAGTAAAGTGTGGTCTTAAAAGTGAATTCTTTGCATGTAAAAGTGAAGTCAAGCATGCATGGTATTAATGCATGCTGAATTTTTATGACAGTGGTGAAGGGAAGTGTGCAAGTGTACTCTTATCTTACAAGATTCTTGGTCATTGGAATGCAGAGAATTTTACAATCATTGATTGATAGAGTGTAGTCTTAAAGATATTTATTTTTTACTTTATTACAAAGATATGATCACATATTTTTTTCCTTTATTACAAGTATGCAGTATATAATGTAGTCTTGAAGATATGAAGATGTAGTCTTACAAGTATGTAGTGTATAATGTAGTCTTAAAGATATGAAGATGTAGTCTTACAAGTATGCAACATATTTTTTCCTTTATAAAACAAGATGACAAGGATATTTATTAGTAAGAAAGCGTGCAAAACAATATCCTACGAGACTAATATTGTAGCCATGTGTAGACATTTATTAGTAAGAATCTTGTAAGCATGCAGAATATAGAGTGTAGAGTGTAGCCATGCATAGTGCAGAGTATAGTCATGCAGGGAATCTTGTAGACATGCATAGTGCAGAGTGGAGCCATGTAGAGTGTAGGGTGTAGCCATGCAGAGAATCTTGTAGCCATGCAGAGTGTAGCCATGCAGAGTGCAGAGTATAGCCATGCAGAGAATCTTGTAACCACGCTGAGTGTAGGCACGCAAAGTGTAGCCATGAAGAGTTTGGTCTTGTCGTGCAGAGAACCTTATAGGCACGCAGAGTGTAGTCTTTTAGGCATGCAGAGACATGTGATGAGTGCAGATTTAATAATTAAAAACAACACTTTATTGTTATTAATACAATAAAGATAGTTGATTTATTATCATATCAATTAGTAAAACAATCCTTTCAAACATGAGTTTAGTAACATTTTAGTTATGGCTCAAACACCACAATACATGATCAGTGCACATTTAAACGGTGAGGTTTTTGAATGTAACTCAGTCGGTTTCAATTTTCAAAATACTGATGTTACTAGATTTTTGATTGACAGAAGATCAAATTTTTTACACTTGAAATCGAGATTAGAAAAGAAATTACAGTCAGTTGGCCAAATAATCTACAAGAATCATGTGTTTTTTGGCGGGCACGAGCAATGCAAAATTTTCCAATTAAAGATTCGAGACGATGAAGATGTGCGTAACATGTTCCGCAATCATGAGTATTCCGATTTCTCAGATATTGAGCTATATGTTACGTTACAACAACAACAATTGTCTCAAAAACTTAATTCTTCTCAAGTTTTTTTACAAATTTGATGACGAACACATTGAAGTTGATGCCATTGATAAAGAAGAAGAAGCAACTAAAGTCATTATTGACGACATGGTAAACAATGAGGAAGAGGAAGTTCCACCCAGTCATGTTTATTGCCCACCTCAACACATGACAAGTCTCGACTTAGGTGACGATGAACCTTCAACAAATATTTTTTACAACCTAAACTACCCAACAGAAGGACTATTATAAGAGGGCGACAACTTTCGTACAAAAGAAGATTGTGTCAGAGCAATTAAACAATATCACATGGACTTATCAGCAGATTATAGAGTCGAACAAATCCGACTCTGTATAAGATCTATTGCTATAATGAGGTGTGTCCGTTTCGATTAACAGCGCCTTTCCGAAAAAGAAGTGATTCATGGAAGATAGGGTCAATGGGTCCAACGCACACTTGTATAATTATGAATCCGATGCAGGACCATTGCAAGCTCAGCTCTCAATTGATTTGCGATGAGATTCTATCGATCATTAGTGACAACCATTTTTTGAAGGTGAGTACCATAATTTCACATATGGTTCAAAGGTACAATTACACTCCTTCGTACAGGAAAGCATGGATAGCTAGGACTAAAGTAGTTTAAAGTGTGTTTGGAAATTGGGAGGAGTCTTACAAAGAACTTCCAAAAAAATTGGCGGCACTTAAAAAATATTCTCCAGGCATTGTTGCCATCTTGGAGACAATGCCGGCTTATACACCAGACGGGACTTGCGCTAGTGGAAATGACATTTTTCACAGGCTCTTCTAGGCGTTTGAACCATGTATCAAAGGCTTTTCTTATTGTAAACCTATTATTCAAGTTGATAGCACATGGTTGTACGAGAAATATAAAGGCATGCTACTCATGGTTGTGGCACAGGACGGGAACAACAACATTTTTCCAATATCCTTCGCTCTAGTTGAAAGGGAGACTACTGGGGTTGGAGTTTTTTTCCTAAAAAATCTCCGCTTATACGTTTCTCCCCGACCTAACTTATGTTTGACCTCTGATAAACACCCATTAATCAAGAGTGCATACAAGAACCTTGATAACAGTTGACAAGATCCACCATCAACCCATGTGTATTGCATAAGACATATCGCCCAAAATTTCATGCAAACACTAAGGAAAAAGGTTGCGAACGTAGGGTATGCACTAACAGAGCCCACATTCAAACACTACTGCGACGAAAGCAGACTGACAAACACATATGCATTAAGATGGATTGATAATATTCATAAAGAGAAATGGACAAGGGCATACGACAATGTGGTGCGATGGGGCCACATGACAACTAACCTTGTTGAATCAATGAATTCTGTTTTCAAGGGAATCCAAAACCT